CCCCAAAACCCCAAAACCCCAAAACCCCAAAACCCCTTTGTTTAAAGTTAAAATAGAAATATGATGACTGATATTTCTAATAATAGTATTGATATGATAAGAAAGAAGATAGTTTTAAAATTACTTCTTCAAAGAAAATCATCACTTTCTAATATCTTGAGTGCCGTTACTTCAACCAATTCTTTCTCGAGCCCCAGAGACCTCAACCATCTTTCCACCATTCTTAATCAAACCAATACAACTGATGGATCTCAGATCGCAGACTCTCAGCTTCAAATGTCGCTATCTCCACAAATAATCCCCATCCTTGGCTACAAGAAAGTAACACAGAATCATCCAGACATAAAACTTTCAAGTTCAACACATCCAGCTTTACCTTGAAGCTTTACAAATGTCTCACAGCAGCGAATACTCAGTGTTGAGCAGCTGAGCGACACCACCGAGCACAAGCCAGACCAGAGTCAGACTCATTCTGTATCTCTCGACCAGGCCACTCAAGACTTCGACTCAAAGCCAAAAGAGTCTCAGAAGTCGTCTGAGCAGCATGGCAACTTTCAGCCCACAAGTCTGGTGTTCAAGGTGCGAAGATACAGCAAACGACTGAACAAGTTCATCTTATTGACACGTCATAGAAAGCTCATTACCAAATGTGAACACACAGGTGCAGAGTACTACGCCAAGGGTATGTGAAAGAAGTGCTACCACCACAAAGGAGAGCGTGCCAAGCGTGCCACTGCTTGAGGTAACTCTCACAAGTTCCATTATGCAAAGGGACTCTGCAAAGGGTGCTACCTCACTGGGTACCACAAAGGCAGGAGACCCAAGCCATCTTCATAGACTTGTAGCCAGTGCACTACCTAAAGGTCCTGCACTGTATGCTCGTCTGAATGGGTGTCAAAGATCAGAACCACCGACTCTGCAAGAATGGAGTCTACGTCATTTAGTCAGAATGGGCTGGCAAAGATGACGTGAACGACCAAACTTGTGTAGCTGATGTCTGGGCCAATTCGGACACTGAGTCGGATGCGAATGCTTTGTAGCCTTATATTCATTTCCGATAATAACATTTCTTGATAACACTTTTCGAGTTGTGGTACCAACACATTGATAATGTGTCTAATTACCCCACTCTGCATGTCGGTACAAATAGTGGACTGCTGGTGAGAATTGTGCTGCCAACACAACCAGATTGCTCACCAACAATTGGATGTTCAGCAGAGCTGGATTATTCAATAAGAATTGGATTATGAGGGGTTTTGGGGTTTTGGGGTTTTGGGGTTTTGGGGTTTTGGGG